GATCTTATCTATTCACGAACAGCTTGTAACACTCCAAAGAGAAAGGAAAATTTGAAATTGCATCATATTACTACCCCTTTGAAGAATTTGTCATCCAGTAATTGCATTGATCATTTGTGACCCTGGACCACAAAACCAGTCATAAGGGTCGATGTTTGAAATTGAGATGTATACATCATCTGTAAATAAGCTTTCCATTGATGTATGGTTTGTTAGGATAGGACAATATTTGGCCGAGATACAACTATTTGAATATCGGTGAAGAAGAGAGAGAGGGCAAAACATTTAGCATTTTAGGTCAGCATTGCCGTCTAATCAGCCAATAATCTATTAAATAGCCTGCATAGCACTTCATTTTTTTATAACATGGGATTTTGACCAAATATATTGAATTTTGATTTTTGTAAAATGTTGCAACAAGATGTTAAAACATTTTTTTGTGTGTGTGTCTGTGAAAAATTACAGTTTTGGACATACAAGGTAATAAAAAATATTTTAAAAAATACCTTAAAGTAACTACAAATGAGCTTGTAAAGCAAATATCTTTAAACGAAATTCCGTGTGGAGCATGCCCTCGATCCAAGCTGTTCTCACCTTTTTCCTCCCTTACCTGTTTGCATCTCTGTGTTTTTGTTCCTCTAAAGGATTTTGGACATCGTCGATATGTACGAGTCCCAAATGCAACAGCTACGAAATGAACTGAAGTAAGTGTATGAAAGATGTTCAAGGGAAAGTCGTGGCCTAATGGTTAAGAGAGTCGAACTCGTAACCCAAAGGTTGTGGGTTCTAGTCTCGTACCGGCAGGGATTGTAGGGGGGGGACCAAAACCCCTCTGACCTAAATATTTACTTGGCGTCCCCTTCAGATTTTAAGTTATTCAATTCTTGAAATATTAACATCCACAGTTCTTTGATGTCACATAATGGTCAAATGACATGTTGGTAAACAAATCAATTTTTCATCTTTTTTTTTTTACATTTAAAGTGTGAATTTTTAGTCATATTAGAAATGAACATTTATAAGTTTTGTTCATTATTGTAAAGTACACACATTGATCCAATTTATTGGTTCAGTTTATGCAAGAATGGTTTAGAAAAAGTAAAGCTTATAGTTTTACCTTTTTATTTTTAAAGAACCTAAATATGGGAATGCGTGATTGCTTTGTCAAGTTGCAGGAGTTGGTTTCAGGAACAATTTACACAAAAAAAGGCTCCTTCATTCAGTTGGTGTTTGTATTGTATTTCACAGTATCATCGTAAAGCTGAAGGAACACAAGGAATTCTTTCCGCTTTTCCACTCGTTCATACTGGAACTTCTGCAAACGCTGGGTGAGAACAAACTTTATTCACGTTCAACAAGACAAGAATCAGTCAAATTGAAATCAACAGTTCATCCAATAGTGTTCTAGTGCAGTGTTTCCCAACCGGGATGCCGTCTGTCGAGAGCAGGGGTGCCGTGTAAAAAATCCTTTTTTAATATTTTTAAATTGCTAAAATGTTCAAAAAAGCATCTATTATATAATATCCATTTCTGATGTCGCCAATTATTAGAGATGCACCGAAATTCCTCTATGCGTGTGCGCTCCGCTCAGTCGCTCACGGCTCATGTGAGTGCTCCACTCATATACCGTTCATGCGAATCGGAACAGCAAGGTCCACTCAAAAATTGAGCCGACAGGAAACATCGATGTAGTACAGTATTGTTTCTGTGTTGTAACATGGTGTGGTATAATTATATTTTAATATAATATTAAAAATATCTGACACACATATACATATATATGACACATTCTGCAGTTCTTCCCTGCTGTACCGAATTTCGATATTTTTCAAAGTATCATATCGAAGTTAGAAATTCAAATATTGTGACAATTAATTTTGTAGGGTGCCACAAGTTTGTTAAAATTTCCAAAGTGTGCCACGACTAAAAAAAGGTTGGGAAACACTGTCCTAACTCAACCCTAACCCTAAACCTACCCCTTACAGAAAACCTGTTTGCATTGTTACACTTTCAGATAAACATAATTTACTATGCAGTTTGTGTTTTTGCATGAGGTATCATGAATGAACAATACATTTATTTTATACTATTAATCATTATTTATATTTTTA